CTGACCCACTGGATAGAATGGCTGACCTACTGGATAGAATGGCTGACCCACTGGATAGAATGGCTGACCTACTGACCAACTGGATAGAATGGCTGACCTACTGACCCACTGGATAGAATGGCTGACCCACTGGATAGAATGGCTGACCTACTGGATAGAATGGCTGACCTACTGGATAGAATGGCTGACCTACTGGATAGAATGGCTGACCCACTGGATAGAATGGCTGACCTACTGACCAACTGGATAGAATGGCTGACCTACTGACCCACTGGATAGAATGGCTGACCTACTGGATAGAATGGCTGACCTACTGACCAACTGGATAGAATGGCTGACCTACTGACCCACTGGATAGAATGGCTGACCTACTGGATAGAATGGCTGATCCACTGGATAGAATGGCTGACCTACTGACCAACTGGATAGAATGGCTGACCTACTGACCCACTGGATAGAATGGCTGACCCACTGACCCACTGGATAGAATGGCTGACCTACTGGATAGAATGGCTGACCTACTGACCTACTGGATAGAATGGCTGACCTACTGGATAGAATGGCTGACCTACTGGATAGAATGGCTGACCTACTGGATAGAATGGCTGACCTACTGACCTACTGGATAGAATGGCTGACCTACTGACCCACTGGATAGAATGGCTGACCTACTGGATAGAATGGCTGACCTACTGACCTACTGGATAGAATGGCTGACCTACTGACCCACTGGATAGAATGGCTGACCCACTGGATAGAATGGCTGACCTACTGACCCACTGGATAGAATGGCTGACCCACTGGATAGAATGGCTGACCCACTAGATAGAATGGCTGACCTACTGACCCACTGGATAGAATGGCTGACCTACTGACCCACTGGATAGAATGGCTGACCTACTGGATAGAATGGCTGACTTACTGGATAGAATGGCTGACCTACTGACCCACTGGATAGAATGGCTGACCTACTGACCCACTGGATAGAATGGCTGACCCACTGGATAGAATGGCTGACCTACTGACCAACTGGATAGAATGGCTGACCTACTGGATAGAATGGCTGACCTACTGGATAGAATGGCTGACCTACTGGATAGAATGGCTGACCCACTGGATAGAATGGCTGACCTACTGGATAGAATGGCTGACCCACTGGATAGAATGGCTGACCTACTGGATAGAATGGCTGACCCACTGGATAGAATGGCTGACCTACTGACCCACTGGATAGAATGGCTGACCTACTGACCCACTGGATAGAATGGCTGACCTACTGGATAGAATGGCTGACCTACTGGATAGAATGGCTGACCTACTGGATAGAATGGCTGACCTACTGGATAGAATGGCTGACCTACTGACCCACTGGATAGAATGGCTGACCCACTGGATAGAATGGCTGACCCACTGGATAGAATGGCTGACCCACTGGATAGAATGGCTGACTTACTGGATAGAATGGCTGACCCACTGGATAGAATGGCTGACCTACTGGATAGAATGGCTGACCTACTGGATAGAATGGCTGACCTACTGGATAGAATGGCTGACCTACTGGATAGAATGGCTGACCTACTGACCCACTGGATAGAATGGCTGACCTACTGGATAGAATGGCTGACCTACTGGATAGAATGGCTGACCTACTGGATAGAATGGCTGACCTACTGACCCACTGGATAGAATGGCTGACCTACTGGATAGAATGGCTGACCTACTGACTCACTGGATAGAATGGCTGACCTACTGACCCACTGGATAGAATGGCTGACCTACTGGATAGAATGGCTGACCTACTGGATAGAATGGCTGACCCACTGGATAGAATGGCTGACCCACTGGATAGAATGGCTGACCCACTGGATAGAATGGCTGACCTACTGACCCACTGGATAGAATGGCTGACCTACTGGATAGAATGGCTGACCTACTGGATAGAATGGCTGACCCACTGGATAGAATGGCTGACCTACTGACCAACTGGATAGAATGGCTGACCTACTGACCCACTGGATAGAATGGCTGACCTACTGGATAGAATGGCTGACCTACTGACCAACTGGATAGAATGGCTGACCTACTGGATAGAATGGCTGACCCACTGGATAGAATGGCTGACCTACTGGATAGAATGGCTGACCTACTGACCCACTGGATAGAATGGCTGACCTACTGACCAACTGGATAGAATGGCTGACCCACTAGATAGAATGGCTGACCTACTGACCCACTGGATAGAATGGCTGACCTACTGGATAGAATGGCTGACCTACTGACCTACTGGATAGAATGGCTGACCTACTGACCTACTGGATAGAATGGCTGACCTACTGACCCACTGGATAGAATGGCTGACCTACTGGATAGAATGGCTGACCTACTGACCTACTGGATAGAATGGCTGACCTACTGGATAGAATGGCTGACCTACTGGATAGAATGGCTGACCAACTGGATAGAATGGCTGACCCACTGGATAGAATGGCTGACCTACTGGATAGAATGGCTGACCTACTGGATAGAATGGCTGACCCACTGGATAGAATGGCTGACCCACTGGATAGAATGGCTGACCCACTGGATAGAATGGCTGACCTACTGACCCACTGGATAGAATGGCTGACCTACTGGATAGAATGGCTGACCTACTGGATAGAATGGCTGACCTACTGGATAGAATGGCTGACCTACTGACCCACTGGATAGAATGGCTGACCTACTGACCCACTGGATAGAATGGCTGACCTACTGGATAGAATGGCTGACCTACTGGATAGAATGGCTGACCTACTGGATAGAATGGCTGACCCACTGGATAGAATGGCTGACCCACTGGATAGAATGGCTGACCTACTGACCCACTGGATAGAATGGCTGACCTACTGGATAGAATGGCTGACCTACTGACCCACTGGATAGAATGGCTGACCTACAGACCCACTGGATAGAATGGCTGACCCACTGGATAGAATGGCTGACCCACTGGATAGAATGGCTGACCTACTGACCCACTGGATAGAATGGCTGACCTACTGGATAGAATGGCTGACCTACTGACCCACTGGATAGAATGGCTGACCTACTGGATAGAATGGCTGACCTACTGACCCGCTGGATAGAATGGCTGACCCACTGGATAGAATGGCTGACCCACTGGATAGAATGGCTGACCTACTGGACCACTGGATAGAATGGCTGACCCACTGGATAGAATGGCTGACCCACTGGATAGAATGGCTGACCTACTGACCCACTGGATAGAATGGCTGACCTACTGGATAGAATGGCTGACCTACTGACCCACTGGATAGAATGGCTGACCTACTGGATAGAATGGCTGACCTACTGACCCACTGGATAGAATGGCTGACCTACTGACCCACTGGATAGAATGGCTGACCTACTGGATAGAATGGCTGACCTACTGACCCGCTGGATAGAATGGCTGACCCACTGGATAGAATGGCTGACCCACTGGATAGAATGGCTGACCTACTGGACCACTGGATAGAATGGCTGACCCACTGGATAGAATGGCTGACCCACTGGATAGAATGGCTGACCTACTGACCCACTGGATAGAATGGCTGACCTACTGGAAAGAATGGCTGAGCTACTGACCCACTGGATAGAATGGCTGACCCACTGGATAGAATGGCTGACCTACTGGATAGAATGGCTGACCCACTGGATAGAATGGCTGACCTACTGACCAACTGGATAGAATGGCTGACCTACTGACCCACTGGATAGAATGGCTGACCCACTGGATAGAATGGCTGACCTACTGGATAGAATGGCTGACCTACTGGATAGAATGGCTGACCTACTGGATAGAATGGCTGACCCACTGGATAGAATGGCTGACCTACTGACCAACTGGATAGAATGGCTGACCTACTGACCCACTGGATAGAATGGCTGACCTACTGGATAGAATGGCTGACCTACTGACCAACTGGATAGAATGGCTGACCTACTGACCCACTGGATAGAATGGCTGACCTACTGGATAGAATGGCTGATCCACTGGATAGAATGGCTGACCTACTGACCAACTGGATAGAATGGCTGACCTACTGACCCACTGGATAGAATGGCTGACCCACTGACCCACTGGATAGAATGGCTGACCTACTGGATAGAATGGCTGACCTACTGACCTACTGGATAGAATGGCTGACCTACTGGATAGAATGGCTGACCTACTGGATAGAATGGCTGACCTACTGGATAGAATGGCTGACCTACTGGATAGAATGGCTGACCTACTGACCCACTGGATAGAATGGCTGACCTACTGGAAAGAATGGCTGACCCACTGGATAGAATGGCTGACCCACTGGATAGAATGGCTGACCCACTGGATAGAATGGCTGACCCACTGGATAGAATGGCTGACCCACTGGAAAGAATGGCTGACCCACTGGATAGAATGGCTGACCCACTGGATAGAATGGCTGACCTACTGGAAAGAATGGCTGACCCACTGGATAGAATGGCTGACCTACTGAATAGAATGGCTGACCCACTGGATAGAATGGCTGACCAACTGGATAGAATGGCTGACCCACTGGATAGAATGGCTGACCCACTGGATAGAATGGCTGACCTACTGGAAAGAATGGCTGACCCACTGGATAGAATGGCTGACCCACTGGATAGAATGGCTGACCCACTGGATAGAATGGCTGACCCACTGGATAGAATGGCTGACCCACTGGAAAGAATGGCTGACCCACTGGATAGAATGGCTGACCCACTGGATAGAATGGCTGACCTACTGGAAAGAATGGCTGACCCACTGGATAGAATGGCTGACCTACTGAATAGAATGGCTGACCCACTGGATAGAATGGCTGACCTACTGGATAGAATGGCTGACCCACTGGATAGAATGGCTGACCCACTGGATAGAATGGCTGACCTACTGGAAAGAATGGCTGAGCTACTGACCCACTGGATAGAATGGCTGACATAGTGACCCACTGATTGAGTTATTTGTTCTTCAGGAAAGATGCGCCTCTCTCTCTCACATCTCTAACTGATGATGCTATAAATAGAGAAAATTTCTCCCAAGTGGCAAATCTTTCCTTCCCATTAGATTTGCTTGTGGTCTCATTAGATTTGCTTGTGGTCTCATTAGATTTGCTTGTGGTCTCATTAGATTTGCTTGTGGTCTCATTAGATTTGCTTGTGGTCCCATTAGATTTGCTTGTGGTCTCATTAGATTTGCTTGTGGTCTCATTAGATTTGCTTGTGGTCTCATTAGATTTGCTTGTGGTCTCATTAGATTTGCTTGTGGTCCCATTAGATTTGCTTGTGGTCTCATTAGATTTGCTTGTGGTCTCATTAGATTTGCTTGTGGTCTCAATATGTGGAGCTGATCCAGTTTTATCTCCATGTTCATCAATTAATGGTAGTCTAACAATACTAACATATTGTTCTACCTTTGGATTATATTGTTCTGCCACTGTATCACATTGTTCTAGCTGTGTATCACATTGTTCTACCACTATATCACATTGTTCTAGCTGTGTATCACATTTTTCTACCACTGTATCACATTGTTCTACCACTGTATCACATTGTTCTAGCTGTGTATCACATTGTTCTAGCTGTGTATCACATTGTTCTAGCTGTGTATCACATTGTTCTAGCTGTGTATCACATTGTTCTAGCTGTGTATCACATTGTTCTAGCTGTGTATCACATTGTTCTAGCTGTGTATCACATTGTTCTACCACTGTATCACATTGTTCTAGCTGTGTATCACATTGTTCTACCACTGTATCACATTGTTCTAGCTGTGTATCACATTGTTCTAGCTGTGTATCACATTGTTCTAGCTGTGTATCAGTGAGCAGGAAATTAGGTTGAGAAAGGATAGGATGATGACAAGGCTTGCTAGTGTGTACAAAATAGCAGGGTACATTTTTCTCAGCTAGATAGGTGAGATAAGCCTGACAGAAGACAGAGCCACACAACCAACCTGGTCTGGTCTTGGCAGCTGGGGCAGGAGCTGCTTCAACAGCTGGAGCTGGTGGGACATCCTCCAGCTCTGTAGCCTGCTCCAGGTAGCCAGGTAAGATGATGCCAGCAGCTCGTGTGGGGTGCTGCAAAAATCTCTCAGGTACCCTGGCTAGGGAGGGGCCGAGGGCAGGAGACTCCATGCCAAAGCCCAGATGTAGCAGCATTTCTTCTGGGTCCATCTGTCTTTCATTTAATAGCATGTCCAGGCTGCAACAGTCACATAACATTGCTCTCACTTCTAACCCTAGTCACTTGTAATCATTAATGCTCACAAAATAATACAGAAAATATAACCCTAACCCAACATTCTATGACCAACCCTAAACCCAACTTTCTATGACCAACCCTAACCCAACTTTGTAAGACCAACCCTAAACCCAACTTTCTATGGCCAACCCTAACCCAAAGTATATCAGCTAACCTTGCACTAGAGGCAGATGTGTGGTTAGACAAGTCTGAACTGAAACTTTGCCAGGACACTTTGTTGTGATCAGTGTGGCTGAAAGTACAAGTCATCAGGGGATTCATGGCTGGTTATCTAAATCAGGGGGTTCATGGCTGGTTATCTAAATCAGGGGGTTCATGGCTGGTTATCTAAATCAGGGGGTTCATGGCTGGTTATCTAAATTAGGGGGTTCATGGCTGGTTATCTAAATCAGGGGGTTCATGGCTGGTTATCTATCAGTGGGTTCATGGCTGGTTATCTATATCAGGGGGTTCATGGCTGGTTATCTATATCAGGGGGTTCATGGCTGGTTATCTAAATCAGGGGGTTCATGGCTGGTTATCTAAATCAGGGGGTTCATGGCTGGTTATCTAAATCAGGGGGTTCATGGCTGGTTATCTAAATCAGGGGGTTCATGGCTGGTTATCTAAATCAGGGGGTTCATGGCTAGCTGAATTAGGATTAGTATACTATAAAATCTTGTTCCTACCTGGGCTCTGCATTCTTGATACAACTAAGGCTGTTTGCTAGAAAATAGAAAAGTTAAGAGAACTAAGACTGTTTGCTAGAAAATAGAAAAGTTAAGAGAACTAAGACTGTTTGCTAGAAAATAGAAAAGTTAAGAGAACTAAGACTGTTTGCTAGAAAATAGAAAAGTTAAGAGAACTAAGACTGTTTGCTAGAAAATAGAAAAGTTAAGAGAACTAAGACTGTTTGCTAGAAAATAGAAAAGTTAAGAGAACTAAGACTGTTTGCTAGAAAATAGAAAAGTTAAAAGAACTAAGACTGTTTGCTAGAAAATAGAAAAGTTAAGAGAACTAAGACTGTTTGCTAGAAAATAGAAAAGTTAAGAGAACTAAGACTGTTTGCTAGAAAATAGAAAAGTTAAGAGAACTAAGACTGTTTGCTAGAAAATAGAAAAGTTAAAAGAACTAAGACTGTTTGCTAGAAAATAGAAAAGTTAAGAGAACTAAGACTGTTTGCTAGAAAATAGAAAAGTTAAAAGAACTAAGACTGTTTGCTAGAAAATAGAAAAGTTAAGAGAACTAAGACTGTTTGCTAGAAAATAGAAAAGTTAAAAGAACTAAGACTGTTTGCTAGAAAATAGAAAAGTTAAGAGAACTAAGACTGTTTGCTAGAAAATAGAAAAGTTAAGAGAACTAAGACTGTTTGCTAGAAAATAGAAAAGTTAAGAGAACTAAGACTGTTTGCTAGAAATTAGAGAAGTTAATATAAAACTTGCTCAAGTAATGAGATTAGTTGGCATAGTGATGTTCAAAGCTCATCACATAGATCAAAATAGAATTAGACCTTTTCTTTTCACCAATAAATACCTTCACTTCCCAAGGGGAGATCATCATCCTGAGCTTTTAATTTCTTTTTTAACCCTGCCTCTGCAGCTCCTAGAGATGGATTCAATAAGTTCAATAACAGCAGTTCAAACATTGCCAAATAGATTATCTTAACTCTGGACAACCCTAACCCTAATCCAACAGTTCAAACATTGCCAAATAAATTATCTTAACTCTGGACAACCCTAACCCTAATCCAACAGTTCAAACATTGCCAAATAGATTATCTTAACTCTGGACAATCCTAACCCTAATCCAACAGTTCAAACATTGCCAAATAGATTATCTTAACTCTGGACAATCCTAACCCTAATCCAACAGTTCAAACATTGCCAAATAGATTATCTTAACTCTGGACAACCCTAACCCTAATCCAACAGTTCAAACATTGCCAAATAGATTATCTTAACTCTGGACAACCCTAACCCTAATCCAACAGTTCAAACATTGCCAAATAGATTATCTTAACTCTGGACAATCCTAACCCTAATCCAACAGTTCAAACATTGCCAAATAGATTATCTTAACTCTGGACAACCCTAACCCTAATCCAACAGTTCAAACATTGCCAAATAGATTATCTTAACTCTGGACAATCCTAACCCTAATCCAACAGTTCAAACATTGCCAAATAGATTATCTTAACTCTGGACAACCCTAACCCTAATCCAACAGTTCAAACATTGCCAAATAGATTATCTTAACTCTGGACAATCCTAACCCTAATCCAACAGTTCAAACATTGCCAAATAGATTATCTTAACTCTGGACAATCCTAACCCTAATCCAACAGTTCAAACATTGCCAAATAGATTATCTTAACTCTGGACAATCCTAACCCTAATCCAACAGTTCAAACATTGCCAAATAGATTATCCTAACTCTGGACAATCCTAAACCTATCTCCAAAGACAGTGGAAATCTTCCTTATGTTACTTTGCCATATGACACAGTAACATACATGGCTTATGAGAGCCAGCATTGATGTGCTTTGAAGCAAAATTTGAGATAAGAGGAACCGGATTAGCGGATTTAACAGTTTGTGTAAAAGAAACACCCCTTAAAATTTACAACTGATTGTGCATCAGAGCTGTTACACTTGCCATAATTATTTTAGCAACATTCTAAAATGGACGAAGAAACAAACCTCCTTGATCAGTTGTTTATTGACCGGCATGAAATGAGAAAAGCATGGCAAAAAAGAGGGGAAAATGAGCATTAAAGTTGAATTCTATGTGGTTAAATTCCATTAAGTTAAAAGTAAGTCAAGTGACTGAAAGAGTTGAGCAATGAATGAAGTGAAGCTCCTCTGCTTATCTTATTCAAGTACCACTTGATATATTTCTGTACATTGATATCACTTGCTTTGTTGAACAGCATTGCCAGTGACAGATGCTTACCTTGACCTTTAGCTTTTGTCCCCAGAATTCTAGCTACACCAATTAAACCTCCAAGCTTATTCTCTGCTTCACACTCTGTGCTTGATTTCCTTTCTTTTTCCTCCATTTTACAGCTTCACCTGTTGGTGCATTACATTTTTAGCCAATAGAATCAACACACACTGTCAGCCAATAGAATCAACACACACTGTCAGCCAATAGAATCAACACACACTGTCATCCAATAGAATCAACTAAATAGACATGCAATTGGAAACTTCTTAACAAAAACTAGATCTACTCTATTTTCTTGGAAAGGTGATTACTGTTTCTATGAATATTTTGCCTAGGTAATATTTACATTACAAACATTTGTCTTAAACATGTAGATCTAGTTGAAATAAAGTTAATTCCAGGGTATTTCAAATTGGTCTGTACCAATGGTAATTTATCATCCAATTATCTGTTACAATTGTTATATATTGTAACATATGCCATAAATAAATAAATATTATAGGGCCCTACTAGATCTTTAGGCCCTGCTGCTAATCTATATACTACTAAAGTTCAAGCTGTTTAGATGTTTGTATATTTTTTGTTTGTCTGTTTGGTTACATGAGAGCATATGCACTATGTGTAGAACTTTAATATATGTATTTATGCAGAGAATAATATTAGTTTTTACCAAACTGTTAAATACAAATTTATTCGAAGAAGTTAATTAATTTATTGATTGGTAGAAACAAAACTTTAATTATAAAAGTTCAGAACAATTACTTTATAGTGATGCCACTTGATTCATTTACTTCAATGGAAGACCATGTTGCCCATTCAAAAGTTTAACGCATTATAAAAAACAACTATTTGATTTTTTTTATTAAACTATTTTAGTCCTTAAATATTTGATATTAATCTTTGCTTTTTAGCTTCACAGATCATCTAATTCAAGAATACAAGGAATTTATCTACAGCTACAGAAAAACTACGTAAGCCAGCCGTAGATTCTAGATATAGCTCTATCTAGATCTAGAATCTGTGCCAATAATGAGTTTCTATACTAAACTATTTCAGGCCTTAATTATTTTATATAAATCTTTTTTGTTTCTTTAGCTATGGAACTGGCTAATTTGGGATATAATAAATAGAGCCTATTTGCGTAACTCAAGTAAAGTAACTCTAAGTAAAGTATCCCAATAATTTTGCACCTAATCAGAAGTGTGTAATCTCATTACTTAATTAATTAGTTAATTTAATTATCGCTAAAGAAAATAAAGGGAGATAGTTTATTTCTTTAGTTTATTAGTTTAAATGTATTACGGCACAACACTAGCGTGTGTGGTATGTGGCCTGACCTATTAAATATATATTATTATTGAGTTTATATTTAACAATGCAACCCGCCGGTTGGTTGAGGCTACATCGGGGTTAGTTCTGCTACGTAATAAAGCAAAATTTCTTTGCAACAATGCAATATATGTTTGTGGCGGTGTTCTATACAAAAGACATAAGTTGATTTATCGTCTGTGGTATTTCGGGCGTTTTTGAACAAGGTGGTATTTTTAGTCGACACGTAAGATTGTGAAGTAAACAAATCATCAGAATGTCTAGTGAAAGTGTAAACGAAACGTCTTTGATGAAGACTGCATCAAATATCACTGTAAATCGGTCACTGTAAAATTTTCGCAGATAGCTTCGCATCCTACCACCACCCTGCTTAAGTATCGGGTGGTGGTAAAATTTCCCAACACCCAATTTTACTGAAAAAAAAACTAACTAGATCTAGACCTAGAAGGCTGCTAAAATAAAGGTAATTGTTTAAAAACAGGTAGAGTCTAGATCTAGATCTAGTCTACATGAATGAAACGTAACATTTTTGTAACTTTCAATTCACTTAATAAGTTAATAATTAATTAATTAAAAATCCTGCAAAAATGTGAAATAAATATCAAATAGGCCTACGAAAATTTATTAAATCAGTAATAATGAGTCACCTTTTTTTCACATTACACTAGCCTCAGCCGATTTTACCTACTTAAACTAGTCAACAAAATAAAGTCTAGATCTTCTAGATCATAATAGATTAATAGAATCTTAATCTTATGTTACGTAGTACGTACTGAAGGTGAATTAAATTTAACTTACCACTTACCACAGATTCTAGAGAATTTGATATAGATCTAATTATAATTATAATCTAAGAGTCTAGAAATCTAGACTAGAATCTAGATCTAGATGATTAGTCTAATTATTAATTAATAATTATTAGGTAATTATAGTCTAATCAGATTAGATCTAGAATCTAATTTCTAGATCTAGATCTAGATCAAGTTTAATTTGATTAGAGCAAAACTAGATTAGATCTAGGATAGAAGATAGATCTAGAAGTCTATCTCGATTCTAGATCTACTCGATTACACTGAAAATAAGGACCCGAAGTCCTGAAGAAATCCTGACATTTTTCGTCCACCTCCGGTTGACAGTCACTGAAAGTGGGGTGGGCGCGGCATAAATATAGGTTACAGGTCAAATGTGACTAAAATACAATAACAGGTTTGTTGTTACATTAATACATTGGGTCTAGATCTAGATCTCTATTATCTAGATCTAGAGTTTTAATATAATTAAAACATTAGGCCTAGGCCTACATTTAAAAAAAAATAGGCTACATACATAGATCTACTAGATTAAATAGATCTAGATCTACACTACATAGATTTCTAGGTCATAAAAAGGTTTAAAATAAAAAGCTTTTAGGCAAATAGATTTACAAATTCTGAACTAAAAAGAAGAAAAATTGCATTAAAAAACTTTGTAATATGTAATAATGCACTAAAAAGGAGAAAATAAATTATACTAATTTAAATAGCTATAAAGAAAAGCGTGGGTCACTTTAGTATCTATTGGATACCTTTACTCAGAGGCGTAGCGACCCTTCCCGGCGCCTGTGGACAAACTTTTCGATTTGCAACCCCCCCCCTCAAGATTTCGATTTGCACCCTCTCAAACTTTCGATTTGCACCCCCTCAACCTTTCAATTTATTTTTCCAACCCATTTTGGCGCCCCCTAAGGCCCCCTCCCCCCCCCCCCCATCGCTACTGTAATATATTGAGAATTGTGAAGTCAAGGGAACTCACTCTTCTTGTATTAGTATTATATTTATAATGTTGTTTTTGAGTGATGCCCCTTGTATTATTGTCTTGTACTTCCTGTTCCATCATGGTGGCTGAGGCCCAATAAAGTTCTATATACAAACAGCATGGTTTCTATTGTCAGTATTTCAATCAGGGGCGTAGCGAGGGGGGGGGGGGCGGGGGTGCGGACCGCACCGGGTGACACCATTTAGGGGGGTGACACCAAGGCAAAAAATAGCAAAATATATAGAGAAAAACTTGAGGGGGGGTGCAAATCGAAAGTTCGAGGGGGGGGGGGGTGCAAATCGAAAGTTCGAGGGGGGGGGGGGGGTGCAAATCGAAAATTTGAAAGTTTGTCCCCGGGAAGGGTCGCTACGCCTCTGAGGGGGTGACACCATTAAGTGCCGCACCGGGTGACACCCGACCTCGCTACGCCACTGATTTCAATCTACCTCAATTGGCGACGAGGATAAATCAATCCACTAGAAAGAGCACCTGCTTACTTAAAAAGAAGTTTGCTAGAGCATATTGGCTAAGTATTTCTAGGATAATGGCGCTGTATGGCCAAATAAAAGAATTTGATTCGAATGATGAAACCATTCATGATTATCTAGATAGGTTAAGCTTTTACCTTGAAGCTAACGACGTGACGATAGAAGCCAAAAAGAGAGCTGTTTTGTTTACAGTCATAGGGCCTCAACAATTTAGGCTATTAAAGGACTTATGCGCACCAGCTAGTCCAGCTACCAAGAGCTTTAACGAGCTGAGCAAACTGCTAACAGACCACCATGCGCCTGTACCACCAAAGTTCCTGTGTAGAGCTAGATTTGACGGTAGGACTCGTCAACCAAACGAGTCAATATCAGAATATGTCGCTGCTTTACGTCATTTAAGTGAATTTTGTGAATTCGGGGACACGCTGTCTGACAGACTATGTGAAAAGTTTGTGACAGGTGTAAATAGCCCTGATGTTCAAAGAAAGTTGCTGCTCGAGTCAGATCTAACATTAGATCAAAAAGCAATACAACTTGCAACTTCATTCCAGCAGTCATCCGATGCGGCGAGATCTCTGGCACCCTCAGGGATCCATGCAGTAAACAGCAGGTTAGTCAACAAACACCAACCCCATCAGAGCATTTCAACTTATGCTAAACAACCTGCAAGTTTGAATCCTAGATCTAAATCTAGTAATAATTATCAAAAATGTCATCGATGCAACGGTCCCCATGCATCTCATCGATGCAAGTTCAAGTCAGCAACTTGTTATAAGTGCAGTAAGCAAGGTCACATTGCCAAGGCCTGCTTTGCAAAGTCTTCGTCTGTTGCTAAATCTAGCCAGTCAGGACAGTACCGCAACCAAAGGCAGCACTATGTTAACTCTCACCAAGACTACCTAACCCAACCAATGAACCACTCTACCAGTGAAAATGCTCAAACTGATTCGCAGCCGGAGTTCAACCTGTTTTCTGTTAAATCAATAAGTCATGCTCCCATCAATGTACCAGTTCATATCAACGGTAAGAGCATCATCTTCCAACTTGACACTGTATCATCTCTATCCGTCATCGCAAAGAAAGACTTTGACGCTGTCACAGGAGGATCAGTGCCTCTACAACCATGTCACAAGTGCCTAACAACATACACAGGTGACAATGTTCCAGTGATAGGAGAGTGTATGGTTCATGTAAGTTATAATGGTCAAAGTGTTAAACTTCCTCTTTTTGTGGTTGAAGGAAATGGACCACCATTACTAGGTAGGAACTGGTTAGTTGATCTTAAGTTAAACTGGGAGAGTATATTTTCAGTAAACAAAGCAAGAGAATCTAGTTTTACTTCAATAGATAAAGTTATATCTGAAAATGAAGGTGTCTTTGGTAATTCAGGATTACTAAATGATAGGACAGTGAAGATAAGCATTAAAGACACAAATCCAAGATACTGCAAAGCTAGAGTTCCACCTTATGCAATGAGGGATAAAATTGAAAATGAGCTAAGTAGATTGGAATCT